TAGTTTAGGTTAGATGGGCTTCAGATTGGTTTCACAGGTCAGCGCAACATCGAGGGCCGAAGGGCCTGTACTGCGCTGTAATGTTCTATGTTCTATAAGACAGGAAGTGATAAAGCAGGAAACTGCAGGCCAGTCAGTCTAACCTCGGTGCCTGGCAAACTATTGGAAACAACTCTAAGGGACAGAATTAAAGTGCAATTGGAGAAGCAGGGATCAATCAGGAACACTCAACGTGGGTTTGTTAAGGGAGATCACATCTGAGCAACTTGATTGAATTTGCTAAAAGAGGTGTGGGTGAGGGCAATGCATTCAATGTGGTCCCCTTGGCACTTTGTGTTTGTATTCTTTCACAGGGCATCGCTGACCAGACAGCATTTATTGCCCAGAGAGCAGTTAAGAGTCAACCACATTGCTACGGGTCTGGAGTCACACATAGGCCGGACCAGGTAAAGATAACAATTTCCTTCCCTGATGGGCATTAGTGAACCAGACAGGTTTTTCCCGAGAAAAGTTTCATGATCATCATTAGACTCTTAATTCCAGATTTTTATTGAATTCATATTTCTCCATCTGCCATAGTGGGATTTAAACCAGATTCCCAGAAAAATTACCTGGGCATTGGAATTGATAGTCCAGCATTAATACCAAGAGGCTGTCGCCTCGCCTTTAGCAAGGCTTTTGATAAGGTCCTGCCTGAAAGATTGATGCCAAAAGTAAGACCCCATGGATCCAAGGAAATTTGATAAATTGGATCCTTAATTGGCTGAGTGGCAGGAAGCAGAGGGTGATGATTAAGGGTCTTTTATTGTCTGGAAGCCTGTGTAGCAATGTTCCAGCCCTTGCTGTTTGTGGTATATATAAATGATTTAAACTTGAATTTCAGAAGGATGATCAGTAAGTTCACTTTCACCTGGTCTATCTCTGACTCCTCCCTTCCCTTCCTCGACATTTCTGTTTCCATTTCTGGGGACAGACTGACCACTAATATCCATTACAAACCCACCGACTCCCACAGCTACCTGGACTATACATCCTCACACCCCACTTTCTGTAAAGACTCCATCCCATTCTCTCAGTTCCTCCGTCTCCATCGCAAATGTTCAGATGAGGCCAACTTCATCAAGGGAGCCTCCGAAATGTCCACATTCTTCCTCAACCAAGGATTCCCCAGCTCCGTTGTCGACAGGGCCCTCAATCGGGTCCAACCCAGCTCCCGCAATTCTGACCTCACCACTTCTCTTCCCTCCCGCAACAGTGATAGGGTTCCCCTTATCCTCCCCTACCATCCCACCAGCATCCACATCCAGAAGATCATCAGACGCCATTTCTGCCACCTCCAGACACATATTCCCCTCCCCTCCCTTGTCCGCCTTCCGCAGCGACCGTTCCCTCCGGGACACCCTGGTCCACACTTCCTTCACCCCAACACCTCCCCACAGTCCTACGGCACCTTCCCCTGTAACTGGTGAAGGTGCAACAACTGCGCATTTATCTCCTCCCTCCTCAGTATCCAGGGGCCCAAACATGCCTTTCAGGTGAAGCAACACTTCACCTGCACTTCCAAGAATCTAGTCTACTGCATTCGCTGCTCACAATGTGGTCTCCTCTACATTGGGGAAACGAAGCATAGACTTGGCGACCGCTTTGCAGAACATCTACGTTCTGCTCGCAAAAAAGACCCTGAACTACCTGTTGCCTCCCACTTCAATGCACCACCTTGCTCCCTGGCCAACATCTCTGTCTCTGGCTTGCCTCAGTGTTCCAGTGAAGCCCAACACAAGCTGGAGGAACAACACCTCATTTTCCGCTTGGGGACCCTACCGGACTCAATATTGAGTTCAATCATTTTAGGGCCTAAACTCTCCTATGTCCCAGCCCCCCACACCAGGCCTTGTTACCACATAGCCTGTCACTACACACACCCTGTTGTTAGTCACTAACAGTCCCCATTAACAACTATTCACCCTCCCAGCCTGATCGTTAGCAAATCCTTTGTCTGTCCAACTGTCTTTCTCTCTCTTCGGGCTCTATCCTATCGTTTACTCCCTACCCCACCCACCTCCCTATTTCCTGCATATGAACTGACGTTTTCCCAGCCACCATCAGTTCTGAGGAAGGGTCACCGGACCCGAAACGTTAACACTGTTTTCTCCTCCACAGATGCTGCCAGACCTGCTGAGCTTTTCCAGCAACTTTGTTTTTGTTCCTGATTTACAGCATCCGCAGTTCTTTTGGTTTTTATTTGATATAGGATGAATGGTAGGAGCTAGGAAGCACAGAGAATCAGTGGGATGGTGGTGTGCATGTCCATTAGTTGCTTAAGGAAGTGGGATAGGGAAGAAAAGTGGTTCAGAATGCATATGGGACACTTGCCTGCATTAGCCAAGGCAGAGAGTTTAAGAGCAGGGAGGGTTTGGTGAAACCAAAAGTTAGTGAGGCGGCAGTTACAGTGTACAGTTGCAGTTTTGTAATCTCTCTTATAGGACTGGATTGCAGAGGGTGCATCACCATCACTACCAGTCTATACGGCTGGTAAAGACTGCCACAGACCATCACTACCAGTCTAT